TAATTATTACTTCGTTCAGTTACATGTTGCTCGGAGAGTTCTCACTCCCTCCTGCTGTTCGTCATGACTTACTCCAAAAGCTACGACAAGCAGTTTCTGCATTCAGAGCTACTGCTCCACGCCAGCCTCCTCGGCGCCCTGAACACATCCCTCCTGCACTCCTCACTGCCGAGTATGTTTTCGTCAAGCATGATGCTCACCGCAACCCACTGCAACGCCCCTACGATGGACCCTTCCAGGTTGTTACCCGTTCAGCGAAGTTCCTGACGATTATCCGGAATGGCAGACACGACACCGTCAGCATAGACCGAGTCAAGCCGGCCACTTTACCCATTGGGTTCCCAGCCCACAAGCACCCCCAACAAACTATGCCTGCACCAGTCTACCCGCAGTTACCACCTGCAGCAACACCCCGCCCACGACATTTCTGGGCACCCTCTTTTCACCCTCAGGTACCCCCTGCTCCTGTCCTGCTGCTGTCGTGGACCCTGCTGCTGTCGTGGACCCTGCTGCTGTCGTGGACCCTGCTGCTGTCGTGGACCCTGCTGCTGTCGTGGACCCTGCTGCTGTCGTAGACCCTCCTCCTGACATGGCCCCTGACCCAGTCAACCCAGCCAGTGACCCTGAGGACGCTGCCCCTGTCGCGACAGAATTACAACAACCATTGCCTGTACAACCTCCTCTAATCCAAAACCCTCCTTCTCCCACAGGATCTGTGTCACTAGACGGAGTCGTCACCCGCAGTGGCCAAGTCGTACGTACACCTGCCCAGTATGTATCATTTGTGGGACGCAACCCTGCCAACATCCAGTCTCCCGTCATGCCCGGAGGGGAGGGGGAGTATTGTAGTGGATCCTCTCCCCTACAACTGCCGACTGAGCTCCTGCCAAGCGCTTACCAGGCAATCAGCGTACAGCCAGCGATGCCGATAGACCTACTCCCCAGTGCGGACGCACACGTAGCAACTCCAGGAGAGGCCATAGCTTCCCACGACATGCCAGGATCACGGAGTCTGGCACCTTTCGCGTTCTCCTCTGTGATTGGCTCCCGCGCTACGCTTGCCTCGATTCCTGATCTGGCAGAATTGTATAAATACGGGCGTGGCTGGCCAGGGAAGCCATTCTACTCGGACCTACTGGACCAGCAAGACCTCTCTACAGCGCCTCACCAACCAGCTCCCTCAGAAAGCTCCTCGCCCAACTGGACCTCTGAGCAAACTACTCATCACCTAGTAACTCCTTAGCACTGCACTGTACAACAATATATATACAGAAAACGCATTGTGAGTTTCTATTCTACCTCATTCCTGAGTGTGAGATATCTTACATGTACGTTCGTTTGTGAGCCCATACAAAGAGATAATAGACAACCAAAGAGAATTGACAACTGACCACATACAGTACGCTACAGTTTTATATAATGTTTTATCATTTTATGTATCAATTACAAATAACAGTTACATGTGATTGGTTACATAAGAACATAAGAATGTAAGAATGGAAGAAACTGCAGCGGGCCTATTAGCCCATACTGGGCAGTCCCATTTACACCCAACCCCTATTGCTCATATATCCATCCAACCTATGTTTGAAGCTATCCAGCGTATTCGAGTTAATGATGATATTTGGTAACTTGTTCCACTCGTCCACTATTCTATTTCCAAAGCAATGTTTTCCTATTTCACGCCTAAACCTACATTTGTCTTATTTAAATCCATTGTTGTGGGTTCGCTCCTGGGTGGATAGTTTGAGTACCTTTGTAATGTCCCCTTTGTTCAGCCCTGACTTCCATTTAGTCACCTCTATCATATCGCCCTTTACTCTACGTCTCTTGAGGGAGTACGAATTAAGATGCTTTAACCTGTCTCTGTACTCAAGGTACTCAATTATTAGCCATTTTTATATAAAATATGTTGTTAATGGAGTGGTTTATGCATACAGTACTCTCATTTACAGGTTGATCAGTAGTTTTAGCCTCACAGAGGTCCCTCTCTTATTATCACTGTGTGAAGGTTGATGCATAGCAAGGCACTATAGAACAGAGAGATAATTTATTATTATTAAACACCAAACCCATGAAAATTAGTACATAGGAACATATAAAATTTTATTTTAAAGGCAAATGTATTTGGAGACCTCTGCATCTTGCTAAATAATGTTAGCAATTGCAGGGGACAGCCTCATATTTCATTAGAACCTCACCTTCCCCCCTCCCGGACTGTGGCAGTTAGAATTTTGTTTTCAATAATATTCCGTAACTATGACATTTATACAGTAAATATCTATACAAAGTTTCACTTGGAAGATTCTACGAGGGTTATAAACATGGCAGTTGAAGTATTATGAGTTTGCGACAATGTTGATTCTATCATTTTTCTTGTTTGTTGTCAGCTTAAAACAACTTGATATCATTTTACTCTTGACATGGTCTGGCAACGTTAATGCTTTATATGCTTCTTTGTTTACATAATATGTAGTATGGGAGTTTATCATGTTATACACCTAACTAGCATGTGGGCCTAGCCTCGCTTAGGGTCAAGCATAGAGGGTTTGCATATGTCTTTATAATGATTTGAGTGATTATTGTACCATGATATTTACGCTTACGAAGTATATTGAAAGAATATTTTAGTTAGTCTTCACTGATATTAGTGATACAAATTTAGAAATAGCAATAACTTATATGCTGCTCAGGTGTATAAAGTGAAAAGTGCTCATACTACATTAATTAAAAGAGGAGAGTACAGTACAGTACTATATAAATGAAGAAGCACGTAAAGTATCAATTTAGCTGGACCATGTATTGAGTAAAATTAATAAAGTTATTTAAAAAAAAGTCTGGTCCCAGGCTGGCATACAATGAAAACTTTGTTGAAATACTGCTTCCGAGAACAATAATATTGTACAGTTCTGAAGAACAAGCGGTAAGAGCTTCCCAGCAGCTCTTTACACTGGCTAGGGGGAAGGGGAACGGAGATGATTATGCATTCCAGTTTATGAATGAGCACGAGCTGAACAGGTCATGCATGCACTATGTAACATCTGATTCATAAGCTCACAACATGTGGGCAACGTCAGCTTTTTTTTTATCACTTTCTGAGGGCTAGAGTTGCTTGTTGGGAGGACAATCATCAGATTATTACTCTAGCTTGTCTAGGTTATCACTTCCCTGGGTTCCTGAGCATGCGGTGGTCATATCCATGAGTCATTCTATAAAGACATAGGTTATTTTGTCCCAGCAAAGAAGAGAATAAAGAAAAAATAAAATAAAAGGAAAGAATATAAAACAACTGAGTAATAACAGATATTCCATTAAGTACTCCTGATTAATATTTGATAGTTTACCTGTGCAGATTTGAGAGCCAATTTAATTTCCACATCAGATGCTTTTGATCCCAGCCAGAGGAAGACTTGGTTCCCATCATCTAGAATCATCGTGTCATCATCTGCAAGGTCATCCTAATTGGAAGAAAACAAAAATATATTTTTAATAAGTCTCTTCTAGTTTAACTCTTCATATATATATATATATATATATATATATATATATATATATATATATATATATATATATATATATATATATATTTATATATATATATATATATATATATATAAATCTTGATAAAATCACTGGGAAAATGGAAACAACGGAGCACCTTAGCTTTCGTCTTTATTCAAGACATCTTCAGAGGCAACTGGACTACATGGACAGAGAGAGGCTTAAATATACAGGGTGACCTAAAAACATGAGGTCAGGTCATAATGATGACATCCACTAATCCCCACACCAACACACACGTAGAGGAGCTTAAGAGAAGGGTGGTGACGTGACTAGTCAGGTCAGGTCAAAAATAAGGGACCCACAAAATAACTATCATACATCTAGATCAAAGGTTTTCAAAGCATTTTTAACCTTGGGCCACTGACAAATATATATTTATAATATATATATATATATATATATATATATATATATATATATATATATATATATATATATATATATATATATATATATATATATATATATATATATATATATATATATATATATATATATATATATATACACACACATTATTATTACATTATATATATATATATATATATATATATATATATATATATATATATATATATATATATATATATATATATATATATATATATATAGTCAACCTCACTTTATGCGGTTAATGTAACCCACAGGGTACCGCGGAAAGTGAGAAACGCGTAAAGTGAATAACATAACATATGGGATTAAATGAAATAGAGACCAGCTGACCCCCAAACTCCACTTTTTCCAACACAATACCTATGTTCTAGTAAAAATAACATCTTAATTTTATGATGGTACATGCACACAATTAATACTTAAGAGAAATAGAGAAATACAGTCGCCAAGTTAATGTCCATTCAAATAATGGACTCAACTCCCTCCCCCTCTTCTCACACTACACTCGCTGGCTCTTCCCTCTCTGAGAAATTTTGGGGGGAAAACCAGGTATAGTAATAAATAATACCTCAAACTAAAGTTAGGATAATATAATTGACATTGCTGGATTCCTTGTAAGACCAGGAATATTTTGAATACAAATGTCATATATTTTGCACAAAAGATAACATATTTACTCAGAGTAAACATTTTATCTAAAATTTGTATGTCTAATGCAAAATCTATGATGTTTATATTCAAAATGATCATCAAATTGTAAGAATTCCAGCAATGTAAATTATATTCTGGCCGGGTAATTTGTATGAATTTTATGAGCTAAAACAAATATCTTCAGTTAATAAAAAAAAAAAAATATTCTTCACGACACTATCTGTCAATCAAAGTACCCCACCTTGCCTCCCCCCCTCTTCCAAGCGCCAGATGGTCGGTCAGTCCCAACCCTCCCCCCCACCCCCCACCAATCGTCCCTTCAAGAGAAAGGTTGGGTGAAAAAACTAGATTTTAACATTTAGTATTAAATAATACCTCAGATTAAAGTTAGGATAATATAATTGACATTGCTGGATTCCTTGTAAAACCAGGAATATTTTGAATATAAATGTCATATATTTTGCACAAAAGATAACATATTTACACAGAGTAAACATTATATCTAAAATTTGTATGTCTAATGCAAAATATATGATGCTTATATTCAAAATGATCATCAAATTGTAAGAATTCCAGCAATGTAAATTATATTCTGGCCGGGTAATTTGTATGAATTTTATGAGCTAAAACAAATATCTTCAGTTAATAAAAAAAAAATATTCTTCACACCATGGTGCCAGGTGGTCGGTCGCCGGTCCCTCCCTCCCTCCCTCCCACCCACCACCAAGCCTCCCTACCAGATGAATGTGTGGGAATACCAGACTGTTTACCTTTTTAGTAATAAATAATAAATCAGACTAAAGTTAGGATAATATAATTGACATTGCTGGATTCCTTGTAAGACCAGGAATATTTTGAATATAAATGTCATATATTTTGCACAAAAGATAACATATTTACTCAGAGTAAACATTATATCTAAAATTTGTATGTCTAATGCAAAATCTATGATGTTTATATTCAAAATGATCATCAAATTGTAAGAATTCCAGCAATGTAAATTATATTCTGGCCGGATAATTTGTATGAATTTTATGAGCTAAATAAAAAAAATATACTTCACCCGTGTAAAGGGGTACACCCACCACGGAATGTGAGCATCCTGGGTTCTGGCAGGGCACCGTGTAAACGTGGAAACGCAGAATGTGGGACCGCGTAAAGTGAGGGTTGACTGTGTGTGTGTGTACCGTATATCTCGGCTTATAAGACGGAATTTGAACATTAAAAAAATCTGCCCAAAGTTAGGGGGTCGTCTAAACCACCAAGTATAAAATTCTTACCTCTTAAATATTGTGGTTTAGTGTGTCAAGAGTGGTGATGGAAACATCGTAAGCCACTCACAAGGTCTTACCACTAATTATTTTATACTGAAACTTACGTTTGGCAAGCTGGATTCAAATTAAGATTACCGGTACAGTGAGTTCTGCTATAACGCGTGTTTTGACAACGCGAATTTGCTCGAACGCGATTTATGAATTGAGGAACGATATTTGTAAAACGCGAACTCGTTTGCTCTAACGCGATTCCACTCGAACGGTTGTTGTGGCTTCAGTTCACGTTCGACATCACATGTTCAATTGAGTTATGTGTTTTGTTTGTGAACAATTGCAGAAATAATGTATGTAATATTTATGTATACAGTATACCTATATATTATAAGTAAATTGTAAAATTTTACATAAAAGAGAAAATCAAATTACATAGCGTTTTACACCCGCGCTCTCTCTACATCACACACAGTGTTTACAGTTCACGTTCGACATCACATATTCAATTGATTTATGTGTTTTGTTTGTGAAGAATTGCAGAAATAATTTATGTAATATTTATGTATACAGTAAACCACTCACAAGGTCCTACAGTAACACTAATTATTTTATACTGAAACTTACGTTTGGTAAGCTGGATTAAAATGAAGATTACCGGTATATTAAAATAATAAAAATGTATTATAAACCAGTCTAACATACCGTAATAAACACAGCTGCTATTATCATCCCCCCCTCCCCCATTTGCCAGTGACAAGAAAGGGAAAGTGACCTTGACTGTGACCGCCTGTGGCTATTTTTAGCCGTCCTTGTGTTCGGAGGTGGTCAGTAATGCATATCTGTATATTTACTGATCATAATACTTATCTCTTATAAAAAATTCATTTAAAATTTATTTTTTTGCAAAGAATATTCAGTAAATGACTGCATTAATTCTTAAAACTACCTATAGTGGTAAATTTAGGATATAAATAATGAACAGAAGTCACGTCATGGATTCGGAGTTTGGTCCTTAACGATCACCATAAATGTAGCCTCCCTTTTTCGCGAAACACGTATATAAATTAAAGAAAATACTTGCAGTATATTTAATATATTACAGTATATTATATATAAATAAACAAATAAATTCAAATTCCCTTATCATCCTGTGTCATATACAGAAATACTTGAGTCCCTGAGCGAGTACACAAAAAGAAAACGGAGGACTAAGACATCCTGGAGTGGATAGAGAACGGACATCTCTACTGGGGGACTCAAACGTTTCTCATGTTTTGTGGGCGCTCTAGCATAATATGAATATGTAAATTACAATTTACTTATACAGGTATATATATGTAAATTGTAAAAATTTAAATAAAAGAAAAACTAAATACGTAGCGCTTAAAGTGTACTGTACAGTATGTACAGTGCTGTGGCTTGGCGCGGGGTTATGCAGTGTTTACAGTTCACGTTCGACATCACATGTTCAATTGATTTATGTGTTTTGTTTGTGAAGAATTGCAGAAATAATTTATGTAATATTTATGTATACAGTATACCTGTACAGTATATGTAAAATGTATAATTTTAACTAAGAGAGAAAAACAAAATACGTAGCATTTTACACCCGCGCTCTCTTTACATCACACACAGTGTTTACCGTTCACGTTCGACATCACATATTCAATTGATTTATGTGTTTTGTTTGTGAAGAATTGCAGAAATAATTTATGTAATATTTATGTGTGTGTGATGTAAACAGAGCGCTTGGCCTCCCTCTCTCTCTCTCTCTCTCTGTATGAATGGAATTCGTGGTTTAGAGTGAGTGAATACTACTACTTAAACACATCAATACTATGTTAATTGATCACTGTATAATAAATTCATTCACTCATAATTTCAAATTCCCTTATCATCCTGTGTTATATACAGAAATACTTGAGTCCCTGAGCGAGTACACAAAAAGAAAACGGAGGACTAGGACATGTTTTGTGGGCGCTGAAGCATAATATGAATAATATGTAAATTACAATTTACATATATATATATATATATATATATATATATATATATATATATATATATATATATATATATATATATATATATATATATATATATATATATATATATATATATGTATACTGTATGTAAATTGTAAAAATTTAAATAAAAGAGAAAAACTAAATACGTAGCGTTTAAAGTGTTAAAGTGTACTGTACAGTGTTGTGGCTTGGCTCAATGTTTACAGTTCACGTTCGACATCACTTGTTCAATTGATTTATGTGTTTTGTTTGTGAAGAAATACCTGTACAGTATATGTAAATTGTAAAATTTTAAATAAGAGAGAAAAACAAAATAAGTAGCGTTTAAAGTGTACTGTACATTGTGGCTTGGCGCGGGGTTATGCAGTGTTTACAGTTCACGTTCGACATCACATGTTCAATTGATTTATGTGTTTTGTTTGTGAAGAATTGCAGAAATAATTTATGTAATATTTATGTATACAGTATACCTGTACAGTATATGTAAAATGTAAAGTTTTAAATAAGAGAAAAACAAAATACATAGCGTTTTAGACCCGCGCGCTCTGTTTACTC